AGTGAGACTCTGTCTCAAAAAAAAAAAAAATCAAACAATAAAAAGCACTACACATTTGTCCCAGGGTGTGCATGGCAGACTGGAAACAGTTTGCATATCCAGTTATTTATACTGCGACTTATTCCAGAAAGGAATAGAGGCTGCTATAATGAGTGAATCATAAAAAAAAAAAAAAAAAAAATACTGTAAGGTATAATATCTCCTGTTGAATACGAGACATTTACATATAAGCAGAGATTAAAAGTTCATTTCTCCTATGCTTTGCAGGTTAAGCACATGCTTGAAAGACAAACATTGTTAGTAAAGCTATGTGCAGTTGGTTAATAGAACTCATGAAACCACCATTACCAACACTTCTGCATACACAGCATGCGTGGGCTGCAGAATGGGCCCTGATACCTTTAGTTCTTTAAGCCCCTGCATGTATCTCCCTTCTACATCCTGTATCTGGTCCTTAAGGTCATAGATATCCTGCAGGACATAGGAATGAACCATTGCATAAAACCATGCACAAACATATCTTAAGTCTCAAAGAAATCAGATGAAATATGACTTGCTTTTGTATACTCCAGAAGAGAAATACAAATACAAAAACATAACTCCTACTCCAAACCACTGAAAGGGGCAAACAGGCCAGATGATAGTGGGGCTGAGACGAAGTCTGGAGTAATCAATACAGGGTTAAACACTGTCTTGGTATTAAATTCTACTGAAAACAACATAGCAAATGGGGGCAGGGCTGTATATGGAAAAAAGCTATATAAATTATAACATTTTTAACACAATTCAAAATTTTTAAACCATTTAAATTTTTCGCATAATGTTTTACATAGAACTAGCAAAATATATGGTAAATTAATTGTAAGCAGCAAATTTTACTCATCCATGCATAAGTTTTAAAAAGTATAATACATGATTATAAACAAAGTTATCTTTCAATGACTTGGCTACTAACTACAATTAACTTGGAAGAAAGGAAGTAAAGGGAGGCAAATTAAACACAGCATTTTGAACACAATGTCAAATGAAATATTTTATCCCAAGAACACCATTTAAATGAGAATTTAAACAATGAGAAATGCATATGCTCCAAATGTTACCATAATCCTTATAAGAAAAGTTAAACAGGTCAAATTTTAAATGGAAAATTTTGTTTCCCTTGTGCCCAACCCTGTTATATAAGGTTTATTCTGGATGCCTGTTTTAGGTGGGAAATAACTGCCACAGGGCCCTAAATATTAATACAATTCTGCAATTACAGACAGGATCAATTATTAAAGGCTGATTATACACATTTTTGTTATTATACTTTCCCTGCCCCCTTCGTTCCCTCCCTGGTGTGTTGGTCTGTCTTTTACTCATTGATTCATTCAAAAGAATTTACAGAGGGCCTATTAGGTGTCAGGTGCCAGGATACAAAAATCTCACTTCCTTCAAGAGGTCATTCTCTCATGAAAGAAAAGTAAGTGACAAGCTGTGTGACAGAAGCAAGCTAGGTCTAAGGCTGGAAGGCCTGTCCTTGTGTCCTTTTGTCCAACTAGAATGTAGCATATAAAGGCAAGTGTTTATCTTATTCAGCTTTCCACCTCCAGCATTTATGCCTAGTACATAATAAGAGCTCAATATATAATGACACTGGCCAGGCATGGGCTCATGCCTGTAATCCTACTACTCTGGGAGGCCAAGGCAGGAGGATTGCTTGAGGTCAGGAGTTTGAAACCAGCTTGAGCAAGAGTGAGACCCCATCTCTACTAAAAATAGAAAAATTAGCTGGGCATTGTGACACATGCCTGTAGTCCCAGCTACTCGGGAGGCTGAGGCAGGAGGATCACTTGAGCCCAGGAATTTGAGGCTGAGTGAGCTATGATGACAGCACTGCACTCTAGACTGGGTGATAGAGTCAGACTCTGTCTCAAAAAAATAAATAACAATAATGACACCTTCAAAGTCATGCCCATGCTGGCCTGGGTCAGCTCTCTTTCTCTGCTACTATCCTAAACCTCTCCATCTTCTCCTAACCCCCAGCCAACTTTCACAGGCAGCCCATTTCACAAGCCAGACTCCTCTTCTTATCATACCTACACAATCTTAGTGATCACCTGTCCCTACCTCATCTACTATGTCAGTGGGAGGTGACCTCCAGTCTAGTCAAGCCCATCCATCTGAGCCCTGGACGCTCCTCTCACCCACTCTGCTCTGTCAGTTACCCTCTCTCCCTCCTCAACCTTCAACTTCTCTCTCTACTGGCTCCATCCAACCAATGAAAATAATAATCGCACCTTTAAAAGAAAGCAAAAACCTTCTCTTAAACTTCTATCTTTCCATATCTATTGCCCAACTAACTCCCAGTCTCATATTCACTTCAGAGTTAGTTTCTTACATTTTCTCCCCTCACAGTTTTGACTTGCTCACTTCATTCTCATTGTTCAACCACAGGGTTACTATTCTCCTGGCCTCCAATGCTTCCTCCAAACTGTGTTCAAAGTTATTAAGAATGCAAATCTCTCCCCTATTTAATATCCCATAATTGTCAGGGTAAAACTGAATTCCTTTCAGGCTAGCATACAAGACACTTTGTGACTTGGCCACTTGCTACTTCTCCAGCCCTCTCTCTCACTCACCACTACTCCTCACTTCACTTCACATCTTATCCTCTGGCAACTCTGCTGTACAGATAACTTGCTGGCTCTCTGAATGCATCTCTCTCTCTGAGAAAGCCTTTGCCTTCCAATCTCTTTGCCTGGTTAATTTTTCTTCTTCCTTCAAACCTTAGCCCAGAGTTTGTCTTTTCTGCAAAGTCTTTTGTTATCTCTTCTCCTAGTCCAATTTACATGACACTTTTCTGAAATACCTTAGCCCCATTATTGCTACCACCATAGTATCACACTACCTAGTATTATTGGTTTGTATCAGTTTGCTTTCCCTATGAGACAGTGACCTCCTAAAGGCCAGAATATGTTTGCTATCTAAATCTTCAGGGCCAAGTGCTCAATAAATATTGAATGAATGAATGAATGAATGAATGAATGAAGGCAATTTTTCTCACTACCCTTCCCCCATTCTTCACAAATAGCAGGTTCAGCAAATGAACATTCAAATATATTTTTTAAAGTTCTCATCTTCCAAATAAAAAAGTTAATAAAGGTCAGGCACAGTAGCTCACACCTGTTATCCTAGTATTCTGGGAGGCCAAGGCAGGAGGATTGCTTGAGGTCAGAAGCTCAAGACCAGCCTGAGCAAGAGCAAGATCCCATCTCTACTAAAAATATAAAAAAAATAGGTAGGTGTGGTGGTACACACCTATAGTCCCAGCTACTCAGGAGGCTGAGGCAAAAGGATCACTTGAGCCCAGGAGTTGGAGGTTGCAGTGAGCTATGGTGAGGCTACTGCACTTTAGCCCAGGCAACAGAGCAAGACTCTGTCTCCAAAACAAAACAGAAAAAAGTTAATAAAGACAAAGACTCAACTAATGGGTCAAATAAGCTTTTCAATATCTTAAGTATTTCTGTTACCCAAATATCATGACACTTCTAATACTATGAAACACTGAGAGATAACTATATTCTAGCAGCCAAATAACATCATAATGGCTCAAAAGTGTGGGACCAGGTGCAGTAGTTCGTGCCTGTGATCCGAGCACTTTAGGAGGCTAAGGCAGGAAGATGACTTGAGCCCAGGAGTTCAAGACCACCCTGGGCAACATAATGAGATACCATCTCTACCAAAAAAAATAAAATTAGCCAGTGATAGTGGAGTGCACCTATAGTCCCAGCTACTTGGGGGGCTGAGGCAGGAGGATCCCTGGAGCCCAGGAGTTCAAAGTTACAGTGAGCTATGATCATGCTACTGCACTACAGCCTGGGTCACAGAGCAAGACCCTGTCTCTAAAAAACCCAGTAAAATAAAAATAAATTTAAAAGTTCCCACAGTCTGGTTCATTGTACATCCACATATTTTCCATTTAAAATATGGCCAAATAGTTCTGAGAGAATTACTTTTACATACATTACAAAGTTTTTTTGGCATCTGTAAATCAGCAGAATTCATTCCAATATCATCAAATTTTCCGGAAAGAAAAAAGAATTAACGAATCTCCTTCCCTTTCAGGTTCTGAAACACCTGAGACATATATGTTAACTGTGTTAACATTTTTGAAAGAACTCATATTCTTTCTTTCTACTAAGTCACACTAAATGTTAAAAGTTCCAGTATACTACCAAGAAGCCAAAAGACTGTTTTTAAAAAACCAAAAGCTGTGGTTTACCCGCAATTCACTTAAGGAGGTGTCTGGATCTATTAAGCTGCTGGTGTCCCCGCTTCCTCGTCTGGATGAGTTTCCACTTAAAGGGGTTGTTGCTGAGGCAGAATTTCGAGATGAAGGCTAGAGAGAAATATGACACTTGTAAGTCTTGTTCTTTTATTTTATTTTATTTTATTTTATTTTATTTGATGTGTCATTTGGACAGAATTTATTTTATTTTATTTTTTTTTATTTGATGTGTCATTTGGACAGAAAGTCTTGTTCTTTTAAAAATGTTTGCTGTGAGAACTAAAAATGGGGCAGGGTGGTGGGGGCAGATGTGGGCTTCAGGTGAGGAAGTTATCAAGTATAATCAATGGGCAATTTAGATTGGTTTTGGGGGGGGGGAGGTACTCAGAGCATAATTTCATTAACTCAAAACACCTTATCAGAATCTAGAATTCATAACAACCAAAAAGGAAACAGTTTTAATGGGAGTTGTTTCTTTTCTAAGTTTATCTTTGCTGTACTGTAAACAGCACTGGGGTGAGTACATCAGATTAATTTAAAGCAATTTTAGAAATTTATAACTGGTGTGCTAGTTAGCCCTTCCCCAATTTAGTTCCTGAAACTATTTCTCAGAAATGTCCTCTTTTTCTAATACTTTGTTGATAAAGACAGAGATACTATTTGCAGCTAACAGCAGCAATACTGTGTATTGCTATGAATTTATACTGCTTTTCCCAAAATTAGTTTAAACATGAGATTATGCTATTGATTAATAAACAGCATGGATCTGTGATGTCCAATGTACTAGCCATTGGCCACATGCAGCCATTGAGCACTTGAAATCTGGTTAGTCCAAACTGAGATCTAGTTTAAAATACATACCAGATTTTGAAAGCTTAGTGTAGAAAAAAAGAATGAACTATATCTCATTAATAATTTTTCATACTGACTATATATTGAAATATTTAGGATATTTGGGTTAAATAAAATATATTACTTAATTTTACCTGTTTCTTTTTACATTTTTAATGTGGCTATACTTGTAAGCATAAATGTAAGTTCAAATTTTTATTGGACAGAGCTGATTTATCTTTCTTGGGTATAGTATAAAATTAATCCTGATAAACCATTTCCTTAATTGACTTTCTAAAAATATTTTTAGAAGAAAGAGACTTTAACAGAAAGCAACTCCTAGAAAGTTATTTTACTTCAAGAAATATTTTATCTATAAAAGAATTTTTAAAAGTCTCAGAGTTTATCACCACCATTTCTAAAGACACATCATTCTCAATCACTTCTTCTCAGGATCAATTTCTAGAGGAATGAAAATCAAAAGAGCAGCAAAAAGCTTAAGAGGTGACACATTCAAGGAAATAAAATGCAGTATCTTTTCTGTTCCCAGAGCTTCACATGATTTAACTTCGGAGGAATTTTGGAGGGTCAAGGACAGGAAATAGATGAAGGAGGAAGAGTAACTCCATCAGACCAATTGTTGTAAAATAAAGAATGAATAAGTCATAGATAGTAAGTTTAATTGACCTTGAGAATTTAATTCCTTTAGGAATTTATATACTCACTCTGGTATAATTTTCAGCATACTGTTTGTCAGATTTTTCATCCAACTAGAAAAGAACAGAGATAAAAATCAGAAAAAATGCTTAACATGGTGACTTTTTAGGGGAAAAAAAATAAGTGATCTTATTTGAGTTCTCCAAATTCAATGATGTTTGAAACCTAAAAATAAACATACTAAACTGAAATAAAAAATTCAGTTTCACATAAGATAAAATGTCAAGAATTTTACTTCTTATCCTTAAAAACACGTGGAGTAAACAAGCTGTATTTACTCAAAAGTTTAGAACTTTTAGATAAATTTTCTTTACATAGTATTTAAAGTACATTAAAGAAAGCTATTTATAAACTCAAGTTTTAGCACTGCAAATGTTAATACAAAAACACTTCTACATATCAAAAGGAAAGTCTGATAAAAACAAAAGCCAAAAGACTTTATTTCTAAACATTATTAGGACACACAGATAAGACTAGTATACTTAGCCAAAAAAGTTCAGACTGGAGTAAAGCATGTTAAAGATCATCAAAATATTTTCCCCCACATCGTTAAGGATTTTTTGGTTTTTGTTTTTTTAAGTAATACATGCACACATGGCCAAAGGAAAAAAAAAATCAAACAGCACAGAAGAGTATGTTAGGCCTTCCTCTCTACCACACATACCCTGACCACCAATCTTCAAGGGCAACCAACTCCCAAGTCTATAAAAAATTCTAACAGTGTACACCACACATATTCTATATCTTCTTTTCCACCTCACCAAGTCTCAAAGATTTGAGAAAGGACTTCATTTTTCTTCAAAGCATTTATCACTCCCTGACACTATGATATTTATTCACTATTTGTTGTCTGATCTGTCTCAATGTAAGCTCTATGACTGTATTTTCTTTTCTGTATTCCTAGGACCAAGAATGGCTCCTACCACAGAACTCAAAATGTGTTGGGTAAGTGAATAAATCATACCCCATCTGTACTAACAGACTTACCTTATTTATTTTAACAGCTTCATAGGAGCCTATTATGTCAACTTATAATTGAATTAATCTATCTTATGTTGACAGGCCTTAAAGTTGTTGTTTCAGTGTTTCAAGAAGGAAAGTGCCTTAAAAGTCTAATTTAAAACTCTGACTTTATAGCTAAGGAGAATGAAATTCAGAAGTGAAAGATGCTACTGAAGGTTAAACAACTACCAAATGTCAGAGCATTCACAAACCTTAGTTTTGTGAATTTTAAATCCAGTGTTCACACTATTTACCTGCATATACTATCCCAAATACCACTAGAGGAAAAAAGTCACAAAGGGATTTAAATAAACTCCAACTACTAAACCAACCTTCCCAGCCCAATCTAGAGAAGAGATCTGAAAATCTTCCTCAGCTAATTATTAAAACATGGAAGTCATTATTTCTGGCTCTATTCACATCACTTGACCCTAACTTCCTCATATTTGAAACTTTTTGGTGTTCCTTTTATTACCCACATTCATATTTATGAATACCTTTTATTATGATAAGTACCAGATCAGTAATACAAATACTGTTTTTAAGATATTTAACTTTTTGTTACTTCTTGCTATAATACTCTCAAAGCAAAATTGATTTTAGTTCATTTTGATATTTTTAAAGAACATATGAAATATTTTAAAACATGCAATAACAGTGGTCAAAATTTAATATTGTATTACCATAAAAAGGAATAATCCTCCATCACATCTGTACTAGTAAAATGTAGTACCTAATATTTAATGTGTTATTCTTCAAGGTGAAAGAAAAATCTGAATAACTGCTTGTTTTCCTCAGAGTATTTTCCAACTCTTTTCTGCTAATGAATTAAAAAAGAAAAGCAAACAGCATTCATTCAAAATTAAAACACTCTTTTAAGTTTATTTGAAATCCTTTCTCCATACCCACCTCTCACAAAAATGACCCCCAAATCCACCCATTTTTTAAATAAAATGTCACCTTGGAATAATCTTACATTTCAGAGGCTGCATCACTGAACTAGTCCATGGCAACGTTGATTCTATCGCTTTCACTGTCTTCTGACAGATCCCAACTGTCGCAACCCAAACTGATCATGCGCCAAACCTCAGGGATTGTTAAGGCAGCAAAAAATGCCAAGAGCAGTCATGCCGCAGTCCACTTATTTTGGCTGCAGTGACTTGGGCAGAGATTCTTCAGTTCTTACTTGTGCTATATTATGTGCTGTCTTCCATTTAGACAAAAAGCTAGTTGAAACCTGGTATTCTAAAAGTCTCAGGGGATCCAATAGCCAGGAGGTCTACACATAGCTACATTACAATGACAAGTTCATGATGCTGACAGAGTCTGCCAGATCCTAAAAAAGCTTTGTAAATGAAATAAAATTTAATCATGTTTGCTATATTAAGGTACTAAACTGTAGTTTGTTTGAAAAAATATCTGATTCACCTACCACAGAAAAGAAGAGACCAATCAATTTTAATAATTTCCTAAAGCCAAAAATGGCTGAGGAAATGGGTTTAATTATTAATAATCAGCAAAATTTAAGTTAGCACATTTACATTTGTTTCTTTTACTCTAGCTTGACTTACAGAACAGAAACAAAGCCAATGCAAAAGAAAACAAGAGGCTAGAGTCCATAAATATTATATAATCTTGCAGAAACAGGGGCTAGAACACTTTTCAGCACCTCCTACCTCAGAAGTTATAAAGTATCAGCCTGCAAATAAATATCTGGTCCACGATGGGGTAGCCATAAAATGTCTTAGAACTCTAAAATTCATTGTCAGCACTTTAAAATCAGTCACCTTAAAAAAAAAAAAAGTAGAAGGCAAAGGGGACATTTACGAACATCAAGTCCCCTTTTTATTTGTCTTACAAGATGAGCTGAGTTATAGCATGCCCTTTAAAAGAAATACTTTTAGAGTAAGTTTTTTGCTCTGGAGAGGGGACTAGCAAATATTTTAGGCTTTGCCAAGAGACAAAAGTAAGGATATTATAAAGGTACTTACATAGCCATTTAAAAATATAAAAACCAGTGCCTTGCAGGCTGTAAAATAATAAGAGGCTGGCAAGATTTGCAAACCCCTGCTCTAGAAAATCTTTTACTTATGTTAGGTACATTTAATCAATAGAGACAGAGGGAGATTTTTAAAACCGTCTTTTGGGCAAGGTGGCTCACGCCTGTAATCCCAGCACTCTAGGAGGGCGAGGTGGGTGGATCACTTGAACTCAGGAGTTTGAGACCAGCCTGAGCAACATTGAGACCCCGTCTCTACTAAAAATAGAAAATAATCAGCCGGGCACCGGTGCCTGTAGTCCCACCTACTTCAGAGGAGGCTGTGGCTTCTAACTTGAGCCCAGAAGTTTGAGATTGCAGTGAGCTATGATGATACCACCACACTTTACCTGGAGTGACAGAGTGAGACTACGTCTCAAAAACAAAACAAAACAAAAAAAAGATAAATAAATAAAAACTGTCTTTTTCAGTTCCATGTAGTCTCTAAAATAAATCACCAAGAAATAAATGAAAGTAGGACATAACCACTAATTTAAACACAAATTAGAGGCTGATAGAATTCAAGGCTTTTAAAAGAACTGGTGTATACAATAAATTTAGCTGTCGATGCCTATGGGGAAAAAAAGAGGTCACTAAGCAAATTAATAAAAAGGGCAATTATTTCCTGGGAATGACTTGGAAGTCTTCTAACTTTGTATGCAGAGAGAGTCCTTGAATCGACCCACAGCAAGATGATACATTGCTGTGGGTCACACAGCCAGACTTGAGAACCAATGATCTGGAATCCACACTTAAAACTATTTTCTAAGATTAAAATAGTCCAGAAATAGCTATTTAAATACAACTAGTGAAATGCCAATTGTAAATAATTATCTCTTCATTAAAAAGTTATGTCTAACTTTTCTATTAAGAAATACCACCTCTTATCCTCTCCAAAGTGTGTGACAATCAGGACAGCATTGGTCCCTTGGCAAAACAACATTAATGCCAGCAATGGAGGGTGTCACAGAGAGAAAATCAGCCTGTAACTGAGATCAGCAGGCAGATCCTAATTTGTTGGCTGGAGTTTATTCATTAAAACAAATGCCCTAAGGTATCTCTACTGGACAATCTTTCCTAAATTCACTTCCCCATCACTGTGAAAGCAATGGATAGGCACACTTTATATATATATATATATATATACATATATATATATATTTTTTTTGATGTATCTCATATTTTTTTGTTTTTTTGAGACAGAGTCTCACTTTGTTGCTCAGGCTAGAGTGAGTGCCATGGTGTCAGCCTAACTCACAGCAACCTCAAACTGCTGTGCTCAAGTAATCCTACTGCCTCAGCCTCCCGAGTAGCTGGGACTACAGGCATGCGCCACCATGCCAGGCTAATTTTTTCTATATATATTAGTTGGCCAATTAATTTCTTTCTATTTATAGTAGAGATGGGGTCTCGCTCTTGCTCAGGCTGGTTTCGAACTCCTGACCTCGAGCAATCCGCCCACCTTGGCCTCCCAGAGTGCTAGGATCATAGGTGTGAGCCACCACGCCCGGCCTGGATAGGCACACTTCTTCAAAGCAATGCCATAATTCAAATTTTTAAAATCTATTCAGATTCTTCCCAGTTACTACAAATTAGTGACACTTTACTGAAGGGTATATTTTATTATTCATTTTTCAAAGCCTACCTATAACTTTACAGACTCATTAAAACCAAAAGGGAAAAGGATTTTTTAATCAATCAGGAATGTGTAAATAAGGGCCAGCTATTAGATGATATTAAGGAATTATTTTTTTATTTCATTCGGTATAATAATGGCATAATAGATCTGAAAAAAATCTCAGAGATACATATTGAACTATTTATTGGAAAAGGACATGATACGTGGAATTGCTTTAAAATAATTCAGAAAAAAAGGACAGAAAGGAGAAGAAATCAATGAAACAAAATTGGTAAAATACTGATAACTGTTGAAGCTGCTGATGGGTTCTATGAGGGAAAATTCCCACAGGAAAAAAAGTTTTTTTAAAAAAAGGACATTAATGAATGCATTCCAAAACAAATAACTGTATTTTATGTTAGCATGTCCAAATAAATAACTTCTAGGCAGTAAATCAAGTTCTTAATTTTAAAATAGCTAATAATGTGTTAGCCGTTAGTCACAAGCCTGAGACAACATAACCACCCCATGCGATATACACTCACACTGGTCAAATCTGGGATACTGATGTCATCCACCTCAGAGACAACACTTCCCCTATGATTGCGGCGACTAAAATAATCAGCAGCAGAAACCTTTCAGTATAAAAAATGAGATGCTTTAAAACTTAAGAAAAGAGAGAAGAAAAAGATAAGAACATTGGCCAATAGGGGGAAAGGTTTTTTAAATATTAGTGTGTGAGAAAGTATTATGAAATGAAATGAGGAAACTGCTGTAATTAACCTACTCAAAAAAGTAAAAGAGGGGTTCCTAAATGAAATCACAGCTCCCTAAAGTAAACTTCTTTTCCCATCTTAACTAGAGTCTATGCTACAGAGATCATTTACTGTCTGAGAACCAGCAAATCTCTCATGTTTAAGACATTCATCACCCTCAACGGGGAGGTTTCTAGTATGTACTGACACCCTCTACTATATTTCACAGAGTCTATTATTCATTATACCTAACCAACTCTGTTAAGAATATGTATGCTGAATGCAGACTTATTTGCAGGGTGCTTACTGCACCTTTTACCCAGTTTCCACACTTCCTTCTTTTTCATATTCCCAAAGACCAGGAAATACAGGACAAAATAATGAAGGAAAGGAACCATACTGGCCTCTTTCTGCTTCCCTAAACACATCCAGTTCTTTTCCACCTTAGGCCTTGGCACTGGCCTAAAAAGCTCTTGCAGCTCTACAAGTAGCTGGCTCCTAACCTTTCGGGTCTTAGTTCAAAGATCACTTCTCAGAGAAGCGTCTCTGACCACCTCATCCAAAGGGATACGCACTCCTAAATGTTCCCTAATCACATAACAGTCCCTGGGATTTCTTTTTGTTCTTTTCTTCACTAGCTTATGGTCTATCTCTTTCATTAGGATATAAGCTCCATAAAATCAGAAATTTGATCTGTCTGGCTTACCAAATTATTCCTAGCATTTAACACAATGCCTCAAAATACAATAGATACTCCATAAACATTAACTGAATTAATAAATAAGTGAATATTTTGTATCTCACTCAACAGCTATTCCTTACACCTCAGCTAATTCATTTAATCCATACATTAAGACTACCTATAAAGAAGAAACTGCCATTCACAAAACTCATAGGTAGAAGTGGATGCAAGCCACTATTTTAAAGTCATTATTATTTTTTAAAGTCCCTGCCCTTTCCACTCCACTGCTTTCCAAGATGCTTTCAGGTATTGTGGCTTATTCTTTCTCCTTCAGCTGAGAACAAGAGCATTAATTAGTTTGCTAAAGGACCACAACTGCTCTAATTAGATAAATGAATTTTTGGCAACAAATCACACAAACATTTGGTGTTCCCCTTTCTCTACAAAAACTCAAATTTACAATCCTTCACATAACATGACATATTAAATGGCATTCTATTTTTCTTAAAGGAATTATAGCTTCTCAGGGCTCCTTATTCTAGCTCTAAACAGACATGTCATCCAAAACAATGTAATTTCCATATCAGTTTCTTAAATATAACAAAAATGTCAACAGCTTTAAAACTGTACAATTTCAAGTTTCATAAAAGAATAACCTGAAATTATATCATTTGTATCCCAGCATAGCTATTTTCTGCATCTACAATTATTATCTATTTGAACATCTGAGACTAGAATTTTTAAATTTTGCCATCAGCAACTCTTAAAAAGTTCACAGGTCTTAACAGATGGATAAACATTGGCTAAACTTAAACACAACAGTAAATAAAGCCATTTATGGCAATATGATTTTGTAATCTATATTTAGGCATTTTACACAATATAGAAGCATTAATTTTGCTTGAGAAACTTGGTGAACTGTACATACAAATGCATGTACATAAAACAGCTACAAAGAATAAAAAGTGAAAACTTTTTAAATAATGACCCAACATAAGAGATATGAACAGGCAAGTTATTAATGAAAGCTTGCTTGTACAGCCCATAGAGTATGTATTCTCAAGAGCATGTTTATAGGATAGATTATTATTATAAACTAAATTTGAGGAAAATGCTCATTTTGTCAAATGCAAATTTCATTTTCCAATAGATTTCAGGTGGTCACACATTGTTGTCATTTTAAAACTCATCGTATTTGTTTGCATGCAAACCACGCTCACCACACTCTCCCTTCGCCCACGACTGGCACGATCAGAAGACACAATGCTCGCGTTGTCATCGTTGGTAAACTATAGATGTTAAATGCAGATAATGAAAAAAAGTAATTTCACTACAGGTCTTACTTGGGTGTAAGCACATGAGGGAAGGCTTTGGGAAGCATACAAATACTTCATGTAAGCAGCATAATTTGCAAAATCTATTGTGTCTTATTAAACAAAAAAGCTGTTACAAAGCATAATGAACTGTCATGAAAAAGCAAAAGACATTTCCAAAAAGTACAAAGAATAAAGTAGAACCTTATCTTTTATTTAAGTTAAATTAAAGAAGGAGTGATGAGTAAACTGGCCAAAACCATTCAGGGATTTCATGCTTTCTAAAACTCCACGCCTTTTTGGATACTATCAGGGATCAATAAACATAGTTACTGTTTTAGTTTGGGTGGGAGAGAAAAACAAAAGAACATTTTAAAATGAAAATAATATAAGTCAAAGACAGAATTTCCTACCAACAAGGACACTGAAGTGATGATTCTTATTTTCCTTTATTCATTCCTATGCAACTAGTGGAGATGTTTTGAAGATGGAGCAGTCTTCTTTCTGCTTCATCAGCCAAAGCCTAATCTTTGGTATGTGTAGTTTATCTCCATTCTGACATCACTAAGAAACCATTCTGGCATCACTAAGATAATAACTGTGAACCCAACTTGCAGAAAAAATAGGATTTAGCCAGCCTACAAGGGCAAGATTCTACACTTAATTGAAAACAAGAAGCAGAGAGCTCACTGGTACAGGTAATGTGAAAGACAGTTTGTATTAGCCAGACATGGTGGTGGGTGCCTATACTCCCTCCCAGCTACGTGGGAGGCTGAGCAGGGGAGAGGGGAGGATCACTTGAGCCAAGAAATTCAAATCTAGGCTGGGCAACCTAGCAAGACTCTATCTCTTAAGAAAAAAAAAAAAAGGGAAATATATTATCAAATTTTATTTGCAAGGGCCCACCAGACTTGGGACATTAAAAATGCTACCACGCCCCAAAACTACCAAGTAGAACTTTATTACAGGGTGGGTTAAAATTAAACTTCCTCCTTATGTGAAAAAATGCCTCTATCTCCTTAAACATCCCTGTGCACTTTTTTTGTTAAATATAGGAGTGGTATTTTTGAGAAGTGCCACCTGGAAATGGCAGAACTGAGCCAAATATGTATGTAAAAGAAAGGCCATATAGCTTACTTATTCTACTCTACAAAGTAATCTTTGATGACCATCAAAAAACTGCTTTAATAATTTCTCCAGTTTTGACACTATAAAGGATAACAAGGTAATTCCTGAAATCATCCTTTGCCCTTGGGAATGTAAATTAGTACAGTCTTTTGGATGCGCAATGTAGCAATATACATCATAACTAAAATGCATATGCCCTTTGATCCCATCATTTCATGATTTGCAATTTACCATGCAGATGTACTTACAAGCACACAAAAACATGCTTGGATAAGAGTGTTCTGTAGTAGCAAAAATCTGACAACCTAAATGTCCATTAATAGGAGAACGGTTTTAAAAATGTATATTTACACACTAGTGGAATAATATATTGCCATTTAAAAGAATGTGCTGATATGAAACTATCCCCAAGAGGCATTAAGTGGAGAAAGTAAGGGACACAGCTTGCTTGTTAAAGAAAATGTTTTATTGTTCAAAAAAACGAATGAAATAAATCTGTATGTACTGATACAGAAACCTATTTTAAGCAAAGAAAACATATTGAGGAACAGCAAGTATATGAACCCATTTGCATTCAACATAGAGAGCACTGCTATATAAAAACAGAGGTTACATTTGGAGAATGGAAATGGGGAAGGATAGGCCTGGGGAATGTTACTTTGGATTTCCTTTAACTAATATTGTTTTTATAAATTGAAAAATAAATGAATATTGCAGAAAGATTAGGTAATCATAATTGTCCCAGGTTTATATTCTCTATAAAATTTTTCTTAAGTTGGAGTATTTATTTTCCTCTCCTTCTACTCGACTGACGGAAGTGCTAGAGAGCAAGTGAGATGGTACAATGCAGGAAGATGGAAAGGAGAAACACAGGGTAGCCAACCCATACATTGAGTTATCACCATTGAAAAGACAAGAAGTTTCACACAAATGACAAATATAAAAACTTAAAAATTTCTTGCAGCACTCATTGCAGGCTTATTTAAGGAATTATGTACTAGGTCACATTCACACAGAAATCATCAATTAGGAAAAATTAGTGCTTGAGTTTGTGTACTAACGGAACTACATAATCCATGCATGACAGAGTGAAACACACCACATCTTCAATATTCTAACAGTGAGTACAGATTAATGAAACAACCAAAACTTTCTTTAAAGCATGCAGAGACTAGACAGCTCACCACCGGACTGCTTCGGGACGAACTTGTTCTTGATGAGTAGTAACTGTACTCAGATGGCTATAAAGTTTCCAAGAAGAAAGGTTTTACAATGATCATGTCCTTTTTCTGCTGAGAATACATTAGTCACCCTAGACCTAACTTTCCCCTGATTCCCCAGGTTACTTCCTGGTCAAGAACTCTACCTCACTCCTACCCTCAAGATCCACCGACCCTTGGCAGGAGGGAGAAAAGAGGAAGGGGATGCTCTGAGAAGCTCTGCTTAGAACTTCTTCAAGAGGAATGAATGAATAAGAAAGGAGGTTTTTCTATGCATTCCCCTTATACTTTAAGCCATGATTCCTAGCAGGCACTTTCTCACAGCTTGGGTGAGAGTCACAGCTGGCTAACTGAATGATCATAGGTCAGATTAAATGACTTTTTCTTTGTAAGTAAACTGTTCTTAAAACAGTAAGTAAACTGTTCTTAAAAACACCTTCCCCCTCCTTTACCACCTTCCCCTGTGCAGACTTACAGTTCGAGAACCATAAGGGTTATATGATCCACCACTGTACAATGATGCCTAAAGAACAAAGGAAATTCCATTCATCTATTTAGCATAAAAATTGTTTTGAAAATGTCTAAACTTTTTTGCAGTACTCAGTCTCAAAACCGTTTTGAAGAATGGTGTAAGTATATAGCCTCCCAAAGTGAAAACTCTAAAGGTGATAATATTCATTTGTATGCTACATCAGTCTCATTATAATTTCAATCTCACACTTAACTTAAAAAAAAAATTCCGCTGGCAGAGCACAGTGGCTCATGCCTGTAATCCTAGCACTCTGGGAGGCCAAGGCAGGAGGATCACTTGAGCCCAGGAGTTTGAAGCTGCAGTGAGCTATGATGACACCACTGCACTTTACCCAGGGCAACAGAACAAAACTCTGTCTCCAAAAAAAAAAAAAATTGCACTGGTTATACTTTTTTCTTTGATCATGATGTCACGAAACTAGTTGAACTAACATTTATGAATTTATTTCCTCAAAAGAGGAAACAGGGCAGAAAAGGAAACTGAGGTACAGAGAGTATTTTGCCCACTATCACAATAAAATTAAGTTATAAAATCTTAGGGTCCCAGGCCACTAGAACAGGCCACAACACAACCAACAATAGCTTAAAAACAAACAACTCACAACTCACACATTACATAGAACTACTGCTTTTGCTTTTCTAGTTAGCTTGCTTTACTAGACCCTAGCATTAACGAGGCCAAGATCATAGCTGTCCCAAGAAAAATACAGTATCTCTTGCATGAGCGGCCATATTACAAAAGTATATGAGAGTGGTGGGACCCATGCAAATCTATTTTCTCTCTAAAAAACTGGTTCTAATTAAAGACTATCAATAGCCAGAAGTATCCACCTCTATGAAGGGGATATGCTTGTTTTTAACAAGTTTTATATTTTAAGCACAGGGCAGCACATTCTGAATAAAGCCATGTAACCTTGACTATTTTCGAGGAAAGCTATCAAGCCATAGAGTTAGTGCCATGACAGTGACCTCCACCAGCAATGCACACACTGGAAGAGGAAAATACAAACCAGACTGGCACTTCTCAGCAGACCAGAATTTGCAGTAGGGGAGGCCTATGAAAAAAGCACATCATTAAACCCAAAGAAAAGCAACTGGTAGCTCAGAAGGCAACACATTCCTCAGAAAGTACTAACCCTGTTACTCTTAGATGTCGCCAGAGGATCACTGTACAGGGAAGAAGACTGCTAACAGACAAAAAATAAAACAAAATAAATAAGAGAAACAAAAACAAAGAATTGGTCTCACCAACGTTAAAGCAGAAGACTTAAGTTTATGATTTTATACTCCATAATTCATTAGCAATTCCTGAATGTTAAGGTGGTTAAGAAACAAAAGAAGTAAGAAAAACTTAAGTCATTAGATATGTTTTAGAATACCAACTGTAAAGGATAAGAAAAATAACTGGGAATAGTTTTCTATAAATGTGTTTATGTCCTATTGGTCTTTAAACATTATTGTTAGGATATGGAATGGCAAGCTAAGAAAACAATGAGGAAAAGAGGACCATGGCACAGGGAGTGTGGCTAAAGGAGGCCACAACAGTCACCAGTAGCTCCTGTGATATTTTCAGTGATTTCATGACACACTCTCAACGGGCTTAGACTGATTATTGGAGAACCAGATAAATAAGCTCCAAGTTATCACTACAAACACTCTTTTCCAAATACACTAGAAAACTTTGTATTTCAAAATAAGCCATGGACAAAGTACCTTAATCAGATAAATTGTACCAGACACAATGAATCCATGCACTAAGAGGGCACAGCATTTTTTTTTAAAGGAATTAAATCTTCTTTTCCTGATGTCATCTGAGGACATAATTTTCAGTTCTTTTCCACCAAACCCAACCAGATATGAAAAAGAAGAGTACTGAAGTTTTGTGTGCAGGTTTTATGAAATGAATTATTTTAAAAGTACTGTGTGCCATACATTTAATGTGTTTTAAATGTATGATGTGTCAGATGCCTTGAAAAAATAAGATATTATAACATTAAACAAATAATTACATTTTTCTTGTCCCCTGTGTATTGTAGATTTTCACATGAAAGCTTTTTGAAAGTGTACCCACCATTAAGTATATAGAAACCTACAATTTATTTTGAAATGAATCAAATAATAAGATGAATTGATGGATGGAAGAAGGGATGAATAGATAGATAATCATGTGATAAAGGAAATATAATAAATTGCAAAATTTAAATGGTAGGTATATGTGTTTGCTATATAATTCTTTAAACTTTTTTGTATATTTAAAAATTCTTATTAAAAAAACTGATAGCCAGGCACAATGACTCATGCCTGTAATCCCAGTACTTTGAGAGGCGGAGATAAGAGGATCACTTAAGGTCAGGAGACCAGCCTGGGCAACATAGTGAGACCTCTGTCTCTACAAAAAAATTTTTAAATTAGCCAGGTGTGGTGGCGCACGCCTATAGTCCCAGCTACTCAGAGGCTGAGGTGGGAGGACCACTTGAGCCCAGGAGTTCAAGGATGAAGTTAGAAATGATCACACCACTGCACTCCAGCCTGAGTGACAGAGCGAGACCCTGTCTCTAAAACAAACAAATAAAAAAATTGAAAAAAAAAATGGTAGTCATTTACAAACTTGGTGATTTATTAGTTTCTGTTTTTTAAAGACACTCACACAGACTGTACAAAATAAGTTACCAAAAACTAATATATATGTAACCATTTATAGATTAGTTATAACTAGTCAAAATGCAAAACAGGAGATTAGAAAAGTGTTAAAGGTGAATAACACATGAAGCCAAAAACCAACAAACCCGAGTGTAGTAGGCAGAGGTGGGTTTGCTATGTCTAAGACTGCTATAATTTCTCTGGTCAAAGTACAGGCCACTCTGTAAAAGCAAAATTAAACACATTTTTCTTAGGTTAAATATTATTAACCTAACAACACAAAAAAGCAAAATCTGAGCAAACACAAAATATGACATTGCCAAACTCCTTCTCCTCCCCCCCAAAAGCCTTTAAATCATTAGATCATATTAAGTAAAAATCAAAGTAACAATTATTTCAAGTCCCTCAAAAAAGACTGGTATTAAAATTTGTTTTCAAACCAAGTGATTACTAATTTTTTTTACTTTAAAATCAAGACAGTAAACTCCCAGACAAAATGGAATGGAAATAATTGATTTACTCTTATGTCATGCTTAAGAATGTCCTTGAAAACACCAGGACAGGATAACTGAATAATTACCACTTTTATAATCCCTTTGGCAAAGCCAAGAAATAATTAAGAGTTGCTATATTTGGTTCCAAACTTTTCATAGTCTCAGTATTTGTCAAACGAAACTGATCAAATTAAATTACCAAAAAGAGAAAGAGAATGCAATAAATATGGTTTGGTCTAAAATATCTACGGCATGTTCATTTTTAACACACTGCATAAAACAAACAATAATTTTATACACTCTGGTTCTCTGAAGCAGAGAAAATTATCTATAAAATTCCCTTTTCAACTTCTCTAACCATCTTTTTTACTCAAAGTTAAGCAAATTTAGGCAATCTCTGAACTTAAAAGTCTCCTTCTCCACTGTTGACACTACAGTCAGGGACACGCCTCCAACCACGGCAGCCCTACCACTCCTGGCCCTGCCCTCCTGCACCACTTCCCATTCATACCCTCAACTAGCACCATGGCTCCTCTCTCCCCAGAGATCCCAAAACCACACAATCCAGGGCCTCTTGTTAATGTCCTCTCCATTCTCTCTTCTCTCCTCCCTTCTACCATCCAAAGGCTCCCAACCCTCACCTGACCCCTATCATGGGAACCCTGAACTGGCTGGCAGCATGGGACTGCACTTCCTTTGCCAGTACTTTTGCAACCTAACAGGAAAGAGGTTTTCCTAGCGCACCATATGGGCATTCTGTAGACATTTTTCCTCCACAGAAATGTCACTTAGCAAGGTGGCTGGAATAGAGAGTATATTAATTCTATAGTTTAATTACATTATAGGTTAAAGAGATTTCTGTAAGCTAACATGAGAACTCTGCCATTACATATTTATTGTTTCTATCAGAAAATGCATTTCAAGTTCCCAAGAAACAAACTTTCAGAATGAAACCTATTTGTGAGTTTGGTACTGCCTATAATACCATAACTAGATCAGTTCAAATTTCTAAAATAAGGATGAGAATCTCACTAAACCCATTCTTGAGGTATATTCCAAACGATGGTTCACAAATGAAAATACTTGTTAATGAGTTTCTTGAGATACCTTACAAACTTTAGCCCCTGGGATTAGTATATTTTAACTTGATATTAAATCTTGTAAATGACAACAAAATTATTTTTCATAAGGTTCTGATAAATAATGTTTCAGTAAATTATCAAGTTTCAATAATGGCTTAGGAGCACACCAAAGCAGTCGTAATTCTTAAGTTCCCTAAAAGTAATCAATGTATTATGATATGAGACACAACAGAACTAACCAGCAGGTCTTTACGAGAACCAGAAGACCTCTTTTTCATTCCAGAAGACTGACTGTAAGAATGATTCTGGAAGCAAATATTTTAAGTTAATTTTAATGATCATAAGTGAAATTATAAAAATAATTTAATAAAATTCACCTTAAAATTATACAAAGGTTTACATAAGACACAGAGTAGTTTACATGCAATCTATTTCCCACTTGTTAGTAAATGATTTGCTGCATTTGACTAGCTAAGATATATGGCCTCTCTATACATTTGCATTCCCCTTCACCAACCCCCTAGACTGTGCCTAGCATCCAGCTCAATGTCTGGCTAGCTAAAAAAAAAATGAATAAGACTTAGAGCCAATCAGGATATCTATAGGGATCTTCAACCCACATCTCATTTGAGTCCCTCTCTCTTCTTTATAAAGGTATAGGTGACAAGAGAGTTCACACCTCCTTCTATAGTCATCCTTACCTAAAGGCCAAAAAGCAATACTACTATGGATCAACCAAAATGGGACTGAAAGAACAAAGAACATGACATTGCATTGCCCCAGACAGTACTTTTAACTCAAGTTAGTGGGCACAGAACATGTGTTGCTCAGGAGGAAAACAGCCAAGATGGTATGGATTGCCCAGCATAGCAGCAGCTTTACTAAATGGTCACCTTCTACAAGGGTCCTTTGAAGACAGGACTGTCTCAGTATTTAACTTCTCCAAGGAGTACAAAGCCAAGTGTATGGATTGGCGGGGGGCGGGGGGGGGCGGATAAATGACAGCAATACTACTAAATAGATCAATTGGTAGACAAGAAATCCAATCTAGGTACATATGCTGCTTGCCTGAAATGAGGGGTTACAGCTAGAAATGCTCTACCTATCAACAGCCAAAGGCAACAGACTGTCTACTCTAGACGAACCATTTCATATATGCATAGCTAGATCCCAAATCGATGATTATAAACTTATTTTTCCTTTCTTAAATACATATCTTTCCTTTTATATATTACTCTCAACATTTTAAGAGATATCTATATAGTCTAGAAACTCAGAAAACCTACTAACATAATATTAACACAAAAAAACAAGCTGTAAGTTAAACTTCCTTGGTTAATATGACATACCATATTAAAACAAATCAAATCAAAACAAAATGCCTGACAATAAGTGATGTCTTATATGTCATCTCTGACTACTGGATGTTTTCTGTTTAATAACTTCACACGATACCTTGTGACACATCACAAGAAACACAGTTGGACCTATGCTACTGTAGTTCAGTTCTCTGTCAGAAACAGGTCTTTCAGGGCAATGACTATGTGTTAGGTAGGTGGCTCATCATTTAAAAAAAAAAATGTTACTACAAATCTTGGTCCTCAAGAGGGAAGAAAATACATTTATCAAATCCTGAAATTCCTTTAGGAAAAAATTACTATTCAAATGATAAATTATGTCACAATTGTAAAACAATAGTTTTTGCTTTGCTAGTTAAACATTTTCCCTAAAAGATCACTAAAAAGCCATAAAAGTCAGAATCTATGATTAGCATAACAGGCGTTTATAAAGTAAAACCACATTAAACACACAGTCATGCACTACATACTAATGATGAAAGTCTTGATGATCTATCCTTGAGCATATCGTACTGGATTTCAAGAAAACATGAAAGTTGATTTATTTCCAAATTCAGAAATGTAAATAAAGAGAGAAAGAAGTAACATTTATAGTTATTAAAAAAACAGCACTATTTTAAAAGCAAAAAATTATTAAACATGAAAGCTAATAATTTGAATTAAAGACTATTAGTCCTTCTACTCATTCATAGTATAAATTATTGCTAACCGGTATGTGTATATAAACTGTATTTTTATTTTTCTTTTAAATAATAAGATTCATAATCAGTAATGGTGATGATTCAATCTCAGTACACTTTAGCACAAAACGCCATAAGGGAGCCTTTAAACACAAGAATTTAAGCATTCTTAGGTCAAAGATGCTTTACTTTTTATTGTGGTAACTGTTGCCATCATTTCCCATCCTGTGAAAAATGACAAAAGCAAGGAATGGACAGGCAATAAGGCAGGAGCACATAACTGACACAATCAAGCTTACAAAAAAGAATAGCAGCATCAAATGGGAAGAGTTCCCTTGGATTTGCTTGTGTACAAACACCTGAAAAACTTCCTTCCTCAAGAAAATGCTGAATAAAATGAGAGATTTAGAGCAAAGTATGGAATGCAAAGTACATATACAAGTGTGACATTAAATATAACTCAAAGAAAAATATACCAAATACATGGTAAGACCAGAAAACTCACAATTCATATAGAATCCTTTAAAAATTAATATGTGTAACACCATATTTCAAATCCAAGAAAATATTAATAAATTAAATAGTTTTAATAACTATGTAGACTTTTGATTTCTTAACATTGTTTTCTAAGCATTCCAGCTTACATTTTTAAGGCTATTTTACCTTGAAAGTCAATGTGTAGAACAAATAAAAACAATGAACAAGTTCCTCACATAGTTAAATACTGTGTTTGGCAAAAATATCTTTCTTTTATAACTCTTACATTCATTTAGGATTTTAGGAAATGATACTCAAAAACTCAATTTAAAATAACTTTTTCCTAAGTAACATTGGCAAGTCATTAGTGGTTCATGAAATCAATCTGGCAGGTTCAAACAGCTTTTATTTCTTAGAAGGTGTTATGCACAATAACAATAAATATTATTTTGTGAAACTTTTGTTTCAATAATGTTTTACACACTTATACATATGAACACACATACACAGATCTACATTAGTATATTGATTCATGGCATAAAATTTATTACTTATTGTATAGATAACAATTTTTTAAAACTTAAAATATATTAGAAGACAAAGTTATATAATCTAGTTCTAAAAAAACATAAAAATAATAGCCCATCCCTTTATGCCCCTATTGAGAGGGTCATTTACAAAAGATAATACAGAAACCTCAAAAAGCATATATTTCATAGGTATAATGGTTAAGTGGTACAATTTCACCACTGGTATAAATTCACTGAAAATGTTATTGTAGTAGATACCAAAAAGTATTGGATCAAAATATCTACATTTGCATGCTTTTCTTATATTAAGTATAAAATGTCCAATTTCCTTAAGTACTAAGCTTGACAGCTGATATCTCTGACATTTCACTTTGATACTTCTTATTTTATTTTTATTATGAAGGTACATCCTCAGTCTTTCGAGCACGTATTCTGGCTTGTGATTATCTTTCAAACTTTTTTAGAGCAATTTTTGTGAAACCATGGATAAGTCAAAAATTCCTGTTATTTTCAAATATGAGTTCCATCATGGAACCAATATAGTGCAAACAGCTCAAAATAACAATGAAGTGTTTGGGAAGGATGTGGCTAATGAATGAATAGTACATCAATAATTTGAGAAGTTACGTTCTGGTGATTTTCATCTTGAAAATCAGCCACGTGGATGACCTGAGACCAAGATGGATAATGATGAGCTGAAAGCTGTACTGGAAGCAGATCCATCTCAACCTACATGTCAATTAGCAAGGTTTGACATTACTATTTCAATACTATGGGAGCATTTGAAACAAATGGACAAGGTAAAGAAGCTGGATAGATGGGTTCTGCATGAGTTAAACAAGCATCAGAAGAGAGATATTCTCGAATTTCTTGGCATTTTACATAGGCAAAGTATTTAAAAAGCTAAATTGAAATAATCTGTTTCAATTTTCCTTTTCCAAAATTTAATGCAGATTCAGCTGATTTAAAAGATTGTTGTATCTACCCGGTAGGGCAATCCATAATTTGGACAAACCAATTACTATTAGAATAACTGGGCAACAAAAAAAAAAAACCCTGCTAATAAGGGAAAGTTGGTATTTATGTTGTTTTAAAAAAAGGATTCATCAAAGGAAGAAAAACTGAAAATATTAAGGGCTCAGTTTACATTTCCAAATATGATATGATAGTATTTTTTTAAATTTTTTCAACTATCAAACATACCTGAAAGTTTTCACATGGAAACAAAATAGAAAGAAAGTACATACAGCAAAAAGGTTGTAGAAACAAAGTTCAGCAAGTGTCAATATCTGTTAGCAAGCACCTATTTCTCAAATTCCCAGGACACTGAAAGTCAACTGAATGCATAATACTAACACCACACATTTTTCTGGCCTACACATCACGGTGTCTTTCCTTTTGGGTGTACTGGCTCTGTGCCAAAGTATCCCAGTTATACTTTCGATAGGTTCTTCAATGGAATTAAATAGTATAATAGTAAATGAAAAAAAATTATAATCATATTTTTAGAATTAAATCCATTAAAATCATACGAAGGCCACTGACATATAAATAGGAACTGAATGCATGTAAGAGTAAAAATCTCCACTGATGAGAAATGACAATGTATCCCCTACTGCTCTGATTCAAGATCACTTCATTTTCTAATTTTGGATGTCTACCTTATTGTCTCCTTATATTTCAATATATAAAGCAATGACCAAGCATTCTGTAAGATTTTTTTAAGGCAGTCACTGATGTTCTATACTATTAATGATTTAATCATTACACATAACTAATAGACTGTTTCAATCTAAGCTCACAGCTTTAAGTTAATCCTCCCTCCCCCAGCCCTACCATTCAGTCTTGAACTACCTTTGCTCTTTTTATTTTTATACAGAATATCTATAGCATTGACACTAATGTTTCCAGCCCAAATAGCTTCTGGCAAACCACCTTTCAAAAAGGTAGCTGGAAAGTTAATTGGGCAGGAGGAAAGATCAAAGTCCTAAGAATGTAGCATAAGACTATAAATATATGCACCTCACTCACATCCAGGTACTGCTAATATTCATATATCAAATATTAGGTTCAAACATTATTAAACTTCTTAATACACAGCACATAAAGTTTTTTAAATAACTGCCCAAGAAATACTATAACCTCAAAATTATATAGCAAACCACAAGAAAATTTAGGCCATCACATTTCAATTTCAGCTTAATGAAGATGGTAAAGTTATTTTTAAAAGCAAATAATCTAATGGAAATTTAGAGCTTCCAATATTATTTTGTTAAAAACCAAACAAGAAAATTTCAATTATATTTCTTTTTAAATGATAATATTAGTGAGTTTTTAGACTTATTTTCAGGAAAGTCTAAACATTTAAACTATGTTGGTGTACACTCACACATAATAAAGTACTAGAATCTCTTCTAGGATATAGATCTTTTATTAATCTTGAATTTCACACACTTTTTCTTTTTTTTTTTTTTTGAGACAGTCTCACTCTGTTGCCAGGGCTAGAGTGCCGTGGCGTCAAGCTATCTCACAGCAACCTCAAACTTCTAGGCTCAAGCAATCCTTCTGCTTCAGCCTCCTGTGTAGCTGGGACTACAGGCATGTGCCACCATGCCTGGCTAATTTTTTCTATATATATTTTTAGTTGGCCAATTAATTTCTTTCTGTTTTTAGTAGAGACGGTGTCTTGCCCTTGCTCAGGCTGGTTCTGAACTCCTGGCCTTGAGCGATCCTCCTGCCTCAGCCTCCCAGAGTGCTAGGATTACAGGTGTGAGCCACCATGCCCGGCCCACACACTGACTTTTAAAAATACTGGGAGCTATGCTTTGAAAAGGATATATGGAAAAAGTATATTGGGAGCTTTATTCTATACCATAGTAACAAATTTTCAAAATTAATATAATGAAATAAAATACTGGAGAGTTATAATTATATCTTAAATGTGTTTAATGATACAACTGCCATAATAAGAAAATCAACATGATTACTTTATACTCTAGGGATATAACTCCTTATCAGTTTAACTGCAGATTTATTTTTGTTTGTTCACAGATTTGTTTTAAAGGCTCCCAAATCAGTTCAAATTTAGCTGGTTTTACCTTTAAGTTAAACTAATCAAGTTCCCCTAAGGTCATATACAAATTTAAAAATAACTAGCTTAATAACAACTGTGTGAAAACTCACACTATGAAGATTTTAATGGAAAGCAAAGAAAAAAGCCATAAGTTAAAAACAAGAAGGGGATTATTTTCACAGCCTTAAAATTCAACTTGGAAGCTTTTATTTACTAACTCCCTATACAATTCTTTTCAAAATATTTAAAGAGAAAAAAACAAAGTGCTGTAGCTCCAGAGAGAAGCATAATGAATTTTTTACTAAATTTTTCTTCTATAAAATCATTTTTAAGCTGCCAATTATCTTAGATTTCTAAAAATATTCATTAATATTATTAAAAATCTGAAGTTTTGTGAGTAGGACAGGCATGGTGATGGCACATGTCTATAAACTCAGCACTTTGGGAGGCTGAGGACCATTTGAGCCCAGGAGTTTGGGACCAGCCTGGGCAACATAGCAAGACCCCATCTTCATAAAAATTAAAATTAAAAAATTGACAAGTATGGTGGCATTCACCTGTAGTCCTAACTCCTGGGGAGACTGAGGTGGGAAGACTGCTTAAGCCCAGGAGTTCGGGACTGCAATGAGCTATGACTATACCACTGTACCCTGGGAAACAGAATAAGACCCTGTCTCTAAAAATGAATGTTTTGTGACTGAAATATTTATGATTCAAAAATTAGTTTACTAACTTACTCTGAAAAGACAGATTACATTCACCAACAAGAAAAATAACCAGCATGAAAGACTATTTATGAACGCAAACATGTCAATAACTATACTAGTACGCCAGAACACACTCAGTTTATCATAGTGTATTTTTATACATTATACAAGGTAGAAAGAAAATTAGAGTTAGACAAAATTGACAAATATAGACCTCAACATGATAAAAATCTCATGGATAAAAATGTAAATGTAAGCATATATACAGCATTATCAATGTGCAAATTAAAAGCACTGCTTTAAGACTTAAAGCAAATTCTTTGAGAGATCAGGGTCTCAGCACAATATGCAGGTCTTTAAGAAGGAACTTCTCATTTATCTTGACTTATAACAATCCACACCAGAAAATCTCAGATATTCTATAAAATATTAATCAAAATGTTGAAGCATGATAATTCCTATACATATACAGGGAATTTTTCAAATCAATAGCTTAATTTTTCCATGTAATAAAATTATAATTAGCCACCCAACCACCAAAGCTGTTTCTCACTTAATAGTCATTTTTTAATAGGAAAGTAGGAAAACCTGAAAGTTAGAACCAAACAGATGCTATTCCATAAAATCAATCTTATTATTTTGTGATACTTTTCCAAAATCAAATCCTACAGAAAAAGAGAATAGATATGTTAATAGATTAAAATACTCATGATTTTAGAATTGATTTACTCATAGCAATAATTTGAGAGAAAGCATCACTTTTCAATGAAAGGACTTTGCCAACAGTTACTACTTTTTTTAAAAAAGGCAAAGGAATATATGAACATCATCAGATTATTTAGGCAATGATGCTGAAGAAAGCTCGCACATAAGCTTTGCTACTATGGTGTAAACAACTTAAAATACCAACCCTGTGACTGCCAAGACTTCGAATGGACATTGCATCCTCAACTCCCTGATAAAAATAAAAACAAACATAGTAAAAGTTTGTGAGTGACTACATGAAGTTAATGAGGAAAACTATTAGGGGCAAGTTTGTAGATTATTACAAACCAGATAAGGACGATGATGACTGGACCGGTGGGAATACCTGGCCCTTTCCGAATCTTCCTGGGAAAGGAAAAGGAGAAAGTATGTGGAGAGTTAATCACTGAACAGATAGTTTATCAGAACAACTGAGTAAAGATCAGTCAGCTAACAGCCCAGCAACACTTCCTTAGAGAGCAGTTAGGTTTAGATAACTTAGCTATGGGGCAACCACATTCTTTAGTTAGAAAAGAACATAAATAATCTTGGCAATGTTTTTGTTTTATCAAGTAAATGTATGTCTGACCACTTGTAGGATGTAATCTATATATGACCAAGAAAGCTCAATATACCAAGATATCAAACTATGCAAGTATATTTAACAAAGAGACGTTGGGTTCAGCATTAAAAATAGGCATACATCTACTTTTTTCATTGTGAATGTTAAGTTTATGTGGGCAGAAATAAATGTTTACTTTATCATAGATATATTTTAAGAAGACAGTATATTGCTTTAAAAATACCTGGGTTATAATTCTGTGCTCACTGTAAAGATTTCTTTTTTTTCCTTTCACCAACTAGAAAAAAACTAGGTGCAAGATCATCCAATTCTGTCCAATTAACAAGACCCTGAGTATGTGTTGTTAGTAAGAAAAACTTCCTGTGCTTACAAGATATTACATAAAGTTGGTGAAGTTCTTTTCTTTTCTTTTCTTTTCTTTTTTTTTTTTTTTGAGACAGAGTCTCACTTTGTTGCCCAGGCTAGAGTGAGTGCCGTGGCGTCAGCCTAGCTCACAGCAACCTCAAACTCCTGGGCTCAAGCAATCCTACTGCCTCAGCCTCCCGAGTAGCTGGGACTACAGGCATGCGCCACCATGCCCGGCTAATTTTTTCTATACATATTAGTTGGCCAATTAATTTCTTTCTATTTTTAGTAGAGATGGGGTCTCGCTCTTGCTCAGGCTGGTGTTGAACTCCTGACCTCGAGCAATCCGCCCACCTCGGCCTCCCAGAGTGCTAGGATTACAGGCGTGAGCCACCACCCGGCCCTCGTAAAGTTATTTTAGGAGTCATGCCTTAAGCAGATTTTAAAAAAACAAAAAGAACCCATAGCCTAACAGTTGACTAAATTAAATGCAATGCTAAACTTTACCATATTCAGCTATTAGCAATGGAGCATTAAGGCTTGAGTCACGTGAAACAAATGGCTAGACCCTAGAACCTAATCACCTGAAACTGTAAGGAATTTCTGATCTTTTAGAATTTCAGAGTCCAAGGTGTTAAAGTAATTTGCACTGACTAAAAATCTACACACAACTGTCCAACTGGGCTCACAACTTATCAATGCCAAAATGAATCAATCAATGCCTCATCACTCCATGGCAATCCAGCATGATCATTACACCAGCGGAACAAATAGATGTGGCTAAGTCTGACTAAACATTTCAAAATAGAAACAGTAATTCAACTGAAACACCACAGTTTAATCCCTATTTTGGTTACAATTTTTTAGGATAACTCCAAAAAAATCTTGGTTGACATCTATTGCATACACAGATGCATCTGATCAAATCTGTTCTGAATTCTGTTTATAAGAGCCACTATGATTCAATTTCCAATCAAGTGTTCTGATCTTTAGGAATTCATCACTGATTTACATTTTTTGTTATGCAACAAACACATGCGGTCTGCAAGAAACCAAGCAAATTTCTTCCCTTTATCACGTGATACCACAAAAGTTTTGGGGGCATGTGCATTAGTCCAGCAAGGTGGGTTCAGGGTAACCAGTTTTAGGCTAATTAGCTTGTTTAGTTTTAAAAGCCTTGCACTAAAGATGTGAGTTAATTTTACATGCCCCTCCCAGTATTATTTGGGATACTAGGGTGAAATACATGGTTTAATGTCCAACCTTCCCTTTATTCTATCCTTTCTTTTTATTTCATCTACCACACAAGAGCACTTTTTAAAAATTCATCTAAAGAGCACATCCTATCAAAGATGCAGCAAAAGACAGAAGAATTTATATTTATTTTCAATTTTGCCAATTATGAAAATAATTCTAAATTAAAATACCACATTAAGTTTTAATCTACAGTACTTCTATATTTAAACAGCTTTTCATTTTAGCTTCATTTGAAAAATTAGCCTAAAAGACTTCAGGAAACTACAGAGTAAAATATAAACCCCATATAAGCCACTTAATTTGGACCGAGAATATAGTTTATAGTCATAAACTGTACCTTAAGTAAGTACTAGGCAATAGAACTTAGTGGCAATGTAAATGTTCTATATTTGTACTAATACGGTAGCCACTAGCCACATGTGACTACTAAGCAGTTGAAATGATGGAAGTGCAACTGAAAAACTAAATTTTAAATTTTACTTAATTTGAGTCAATTTGAGTTTAATTATCTACATGTGGCTAGTGGATACCATACTGGACAGCAGCCTAAATCTATCTGACAAATATACGTTTAGGTAAAACAGTAAGGCAAGCTCAAAGCAAATTTTAACTACACCAAAAAAACTCAAAATATGTATGCTACTAAGAGTCTGCCAAATAGCACCACTCTCAAAGCATATGGGTAGTTATTAATTACTCTTCCTACCTCAAATAGGTTTGCATAGTGGCAAATGTTAGGGGAAACAAAAGGAAACTCTTGCATAACAAGACCCTGGTAGCAACTCTACAATTATTTTTAAGAGGTAGAAGGGTCCTTAGAGATCATCTCTGATCCCTTCATTTTACAGTAAAGAAAGTTGCAACACAGAAGGATTAAGTAAGAATCTACAAGGTCATAAAGCTGGGACCAGCATTCAGACCTTCTGACTCACCAGACCACTGAACCATAAAGATAACATCCTACACTGGCTAAATCTCCACTAATTACATAGAAAAAAAATAAGAAGAAAATGGCAAGGTATTCTGGTTTTCACTCAGAGATTCCTCCTTCTCTGGAAGAACAAAAGGCTTCATTTCCTAGGTATTACTAGAGTAGTATTTACATTGTCAATTGGCTTTTCTTGAAGTAATAGCACCAGTGACCAAATAGAAACGATTACAGCAAACTGTGTTCCTATGTGCCAATTACAAGGCAGAGTATCCCTTTCTTCCCTACTCAGGAAAACAATACATTGTCATTATGCCAGAAGTCCTTACTAGTACAAAAGAGCCCAAGAACGAACAAACAGCAATGTCTTAAAAAGTGGACGTATATCTGTTAAAAATCTTCTGGAAAACTACATTTTAATACATTTAAAGTAATGAAAATGAAACATACTCTGTTTTGAAACGTTTACTTGAAGTAAGGATGAAGTAGTTTCATTAAAAGAAAACTACAGCCCCATGAATACAATTGCCCATCTTATCTGTCAACAAATCATATTAAGTCAGGGCTGAAGTCATTCCTTCAGTTTCTTTCTTTCTTTTTTTTTTTTTTTCCAACTATGCAAGCTTGGAATCATTCCTTCAGTTTCAACTTAGGAAACTTCAGAAACTGTATTTATTCTTCCAGACATACATTTACTCTTTCAGACATACTACTGATTAAGATATCCAGTTTAAAAACAGAATCATTAGGCTCATGGAAAGTTGGCTAAACTAAGACTATTTGGAGGCCCAGGAAGACCTGGGCCCTTTTCTTCTTGGTCTTTTCACCTTCCAACTCGTTAGCAGCTGTGGCACTTTCTCACACCTTCAAACTCTGGCTCTGTCTTATAGATTCTGTCTTATAAATTCTAATACCCATCTTATAATGTGAAATTAAAACCTACATAAGAAGCACTAGCACAGTGCTGGTATATAGTACGCACTCAAAGTTAGCTTCATTCCTAAGCCCCATGCCCTTGCATTCCTTATTCACATCTCAACATCCCACCCCCACACAAAAGAGTATTAAAATTAGGGAAAATTTTTAATATGGAAAGATTCTTTCTTCTAGCAACTGACAATCCTATTGCATGTATATGTATTGTTTATTTTACTATAAACTTATTAGCCATTTATGTTTTATACTGCCCATCACATGGCAACTTCTGCTCTGAGTTCACAGACAAAGCAGCCAGAAAGACAAGGATAAGAAAAGACAATCAGTTTAAAAAGACTAAAAGCAAGTAAAAGATGGGGTCAGAAGTGATAATTACTCCCATTTGAAACTAAACTCTACTTTTTCTGCATGTCCAAATCCTAGCTGTCAATCAAGACTCTGAGTTAGTCACCACCTGTATTTTAAGACTCTACCCTAAACTACTCCTCCATCTATGAAAATCTAGCACACTCAATGTCTGAATCGCACATGTTTCACAAAGATTTTTCTTTAATTGTTTATCTTCATGGCCCTTGAACACAGAAGTCAAATATTAAACTTTTAATATAGACTTTTCTCTTCACTTAATGGTTTTTGGGGTTTCCCTAAGATATTAAAATATTATATAATTTAATTTTACAACTATAATACATAATTAAAATAACAAACTAATATCTGCATGGAAAACGTGCAAGTAAAAGTGATTTCTTTCATTGACAAAAAACATTCTTACTGCATCAGCAAAAATATTAACCCAGTTACATGCAGAAGACATGTCAAATAAAATTAATAAGGCTAGCTTTAGTTAAAAGAAAGGACAGATTCCACTGCAAAATCCAAACACACACACACACACACACACACACACACACAGAGGGTCATTTAATTTCCAGTGCCCAAATATCCTTTTTCTCTTTTCTAAAACAATGTCAAAATGAGAATTATGATAAAATTTTAAATTTGAAGGTCATTATAGTCATAAATATTTTAATTCTGGTTGCACCTTAAGATGCTGCTATAGAACAGATCTGCTTATGAAAGTTGCTTGTTTAACAGCAATTAGTGGTTCCTAACCCTTTAGGAATCACAGACTCCTTTGAGAAAGTAATGTTAAATATACCTGTGGGTATTTCCCATAAAAATACATACATTCAAAAGTTTGCATGAGATTTTAAGGCTTCGTATCTCACCTCCCAAGTCTAGTCACATACCAAGTTAAGAACTCCTGTTATAGGAGACAATGGGGGTACTTATCAACCTTGAAAAAAGCTCAAACTCAGGAATGATTCACAGTAACATTCTACTGGTTTACAATTTGCTTTTGCAGCCAACAAATTAGGGAGTAGTGGCAGAGGACTTGAAAAGGAGCTGAGAGAGCTGACATAATAAGAGTAATTTTCAGAGGAGATGACAGAATAACTTGGGTCATTTCTCACTGTGGACTTAGTTTTTGTGTTTCTTTTTTTTTTTTTAAGGGAAGGGAGAGGAAGAGGATGGGGAAAAAAGAACAAACCCATAAAAAGAAAACACACATTCATTTTCTCGGTCTTTTTTGAGCAGGAGTATTCATGAGATGAAGGTGAGCATACTGATCACAACAGGAAACAGCTGGACTCCAAGTACACTTTTGGTCCACCATAGACAGAATAAACATTCTGACCTTTAGGTTCACACAGGCCAAACATTCCTACTTGACAAACTATTAGTCAATGTTTTACATCAAGACTGCATTATTTCAGCAACTGATCACAACATGCAGGACAGGCAATCCTGGCCTACCAGCCACTTCTGAATCTGTCCCCATTTCCGATCAAAAGAATGATGAGAGTGCTACAAATGCAAAAGTTTCATACACTAAACAGTTTCCAACATATTACATTCTCTTTTAAAGCCTTTAATTAATCATATACATTTGTCCTAAAGGGCAATGATAGGTGACACAAAGTTACACATTCAAAATATAGACGATTACTAAGCTAAATATGTTCAGTAAGAGATACAAGGTTCTCTATAGCTTAGAGGACCATAAATAGAAGTTATATTTAATAACTACCTCATCTGCTTTTTATAATATTTAGTATAATGATTTTAGGAGTAAAAAGACAATGCATTGCAACATTTTCATTTTAAGCCATGAATTACATTCAATATCTGAAACTGTATATAAGAGTTTAAAAAAAATACCAACATATCAAATGTTACTGGGTTTTTTTGAGCTATGACAATATGGAATATATAAATTTCCTTTTAATTTGTTAGCGGAAAATCCACCACCAAAATCAAAAGAAAGTATATAATACTGTTCCCACATGTTTTTCCCCCCATCATACTACTACAACATCAAAAATATTTATTACAGGAATTTTCAGGGCCAAGTAAACTTATGTCAGAAGGGAACAGCAAAAGATTATTCGTTTCATTTTACTTAGCTCAATTTTATATGCCTGCTTTTTTAACTTTTTTCCTGCTTTCTGATGATAAAAGCATATTGAAAATCTGTAAACTATAGAAAAGCATAGGAAGAAAGTAAAACCAACAACAATTCTACTACAGACAAACCAAAGTAATAGTAATAATCACTTTTCTAGTAGTTTTTGATGCTATATATGGATAGATACTAGGTTTTGTAACACACAATTGAGGTCTTACCAAAATTCTTTTGGTATGGGTTTTGTTTCTCATTTTTTTACAAGAATATTTTTCTTCATTATTAAATATGCTTCAAAATTATAAGGCTAAATGACTTCACAGTGTTTTACTATACAGATATCATAATATAATCAAAATCCTAGGACATTTAGGGCTATACTAAATAACTTTGTCATCTCTAAATCTACTTTAACTAATATAAGTACAGCACTTAGCAGCACTAGCCAAGTACTGAATTTGGAGGGGACAATCATGAAATTAAGAGTTATTCCCTCAAATTACCTCTTTTTGCTGTCGTTCCAGTTCTCTCATGCGTATATCTCTTGCTTCTGCCCGGGCGGCCCGTTTTGCTGCCAATCTTGCCTCTGCCTGAAAAGTAATATAAAACTCAGCTTTATACAACAAAAACAAAAAGAATCTCTACACCAGATTTGAGGATAAGGAACAAATGAGACATTAACTTCCAAAGGGGTTAGAGGGGACAAGACATCATCTATCAGCAAGCTTGACTTAACTGCTTCAGTCAACTCCTGTATACTCACTTCTCTCTCTCGTCCCAAAGTCTTTCCTCAGATCTAGGCCTTTACCTTTAACTGCTTGCCTTGATTACACACTCAACACAGTTCATTAAATGGCTCTCCAAACTTGCTGTTTTTCCAGCATTTCCTTCCCTATTAATTCAATTATACAAACTAGAAACTTCAGAACTAACTGCTATTTTATTTTGGATGTTGCCAACATTCAGCCTCCAATTACTATCAGTTCTCTATGACTGAGTCTCTCAAACCCATTTCAGCTTTCTTTATTGCTTGTTTCAGGAACTTTTTTTATCACTCACTCACTCTCTCTCTCTTTCCCTGCCCCCACCTCTCTGTTTTAAAATTGAGATATAATTCACATACCATCAGATTCACCAAGTATACAATTCATTGGTTTTTAGTATATTCACAAGGACATGCAATCATCACGACTATCTAATTCCAAAACAATTTCATCACCCAAAAACGAAACTCCATACTCATTAATAGTCACTCCCCATTAATCCTTCCCCTCAGTTTTTGGCAACCTCTAATCTACTTTCTGACTGTATGAATTTGTTTATTCTGACATTTCATATAAATGGAATCATACCATAAGAACTCCTCATCTCTTGCTCAGACTACTGTAATTGCCTCCAAATCCATCTACTTACTTCCAGAATCTGCCTTATAATTCATCTTCTACATGTTATATGACTGACAAATCACTCTTTCAAAACACAATTCTGATCATGTCATTCTGCTGTGTAAAATCCTATACTAGCTCTGTATTACTTATGGTTAAAGCAAAAATTTCATAGAACAGCACAGAGAGAAGAGACGAAAGACGAGAGGCAAAAATGGAAATAAGGCTCTTAACAGACAGGTCTTTACTTTATTTCCCAATATAGTAGTCCTCATTTGTCCAAGTTTCAGTTACCCACAGTTAACCAAGGTCCAAATATATTAAATGAAAAACTCCAGAAAGAATTTATAAGTTCCAAATTTCTCACCATTCCTAGTGGCATGATAAAATCTCACAGCGCATGAATCATCCCTTTGTCTAGTGTATCCACACTGTCTATGCTACCCACCTGTTAGTCACTTAGTAGCTGTCTCAGTTATCAGATCTCAGTGCTTGTATTCAAGTAACCTTTATTATATTTAATAATGGCCCCAAAGAGCAAGAGTGATGCTGGCAATTTGGATATGACAAAGAGAAGCTATAAAGTGCTTCCTTGAAATGAAAAGGTAAAAGTTCTTGACTTCACAGGGAAAGAATAAAAATCATCCACTGAGGTTGCTAAGATCTACAGTAAGAACAAATCTTCAATCTGTGAAATTGTGAGGGAAAAAGAAATTTATACTAGTTTTGCTGTCACACCTCAAACTGCATAAGTTATAGACACAGTGTGATAAGTGAGTGCTTAATTAAGATGGAAAAGGCATTACATGTGTGGGTGGAAGATATCAATAAAAATGTGTCCCGATTGATGGCAATCAGTTTCAGTACTATCCGAGGTTTCAGGCATCTGCTAGGGGGCTTGGAATGTGTCCCCCATGGATAAGGAGGGACTACTCGACTTGTTCCACAAGTACTAGGTACACCCCATATCTCACTGTTCTTGGACTCTACTGTGTTCTGTTAAGCCTCTCTTTACAAACTGTTATTTAGCTAAAATATCACATCCTATGAAGATTTCCCCCATTCCCTCTTTCATAGAGCAATACTCTATATGCATGCCTCTATTGTGGCTTTATTACATTGTGTTAAAATTGCATATCTGTCACCCCACACCTTTCATGCCTCAAGGTCTACTAAATAAACTAATGAATTTCAAGCCTTGGGCCACAGTATCAAGGAAATGAGGTAAAGAAATAGCTTGCTGTACCACATGAAACTTAAAAATCTTCTCTCTGATTTCTGTCTTTTAGTGGTTTCCTGTTTTTGACCACATCCTAACTCTGATTTAGATTATCCCGTGATAACTACAGTAGTTGCTTCTTCACATGTTGTCATATTTGTGCCCAAGCTGCATGATAAGAAGAGACTCACCCAATGTTTAAAGGGATCTACTGCATGTAAACAATTATACTAGGTGCTGAAAATACAGAGTAAGATACAACATCTCTACCCTAAATAAGGCTATTTATAATCCAAGTTTAAGGAGACAGAAGTGCATGGGAAGGAAACATGCAGAAAGGGAGAAATTAGTTTTGCCTGGCAAGGTCATGGTAGGGTTCTAAAGCAGAGACAGTTACGTAGTTAACTCCTATTCAACTATCCCAATTTTGATAATAGCAAATTAATAGCAAATGTCCCTTTTAATAGCAAAAACCATGCAAAGTAAATTGTAATCTACCCTCTGGGAGGCCGAGGTAGGCAGATTGCTCAAGGTCAGGAGTTCGAAACCAGCCTGAGCAAGAGCAAGACCACTTCCCTAATAAAAATAGAAAGAAATTAATTAGCCAACTAAAAATATATAGAAAATATTAGCCGGGCATGCTGGTGCATGCCTGTAGTCCCAGCTACTTGGGAGGCTGAGGCAGGAGGATTGCTTGAGCCCAGGAGTTTGAGGTTGCTGTGAGCTAAACTGATCCCACGGCACTCTAGCCGGGGCAACAGAATGAGAAGTCTAAAACAAAACAAAACAAAACAAAATTGTAATCTACCAACCTCAAGCTGGGAGATAGGGCGAAATCCTGTCTCAAAAAATAAAATAAAATAAAATAAGCCAAGGGTTTGAATACACATTTTCCAAAGAAGATATACAAACTGGCCAATAAGCATATAAAAAGATGCTCAATTTCATTAGTCATTAGAGGAATGCAAATCAAACCCACAATCAGATATCACTTCACACATACTAGGATAGCTATAATAAAAAATTTTTTCTAGCTGAAAATAACGAGTGTTGGCAAGGATATAGAGAAATCAGAATCCTCATACATTGCCGGTAAAAATGTAAAATGTGCGACTACTTTGGCAATTAGTATTCTCACATGAATTTTACATATGAGATAGATCTTTAAAAAACCTATGTTCTGGCTGGGCGTGGTGGCTCACGCCTGTAATCCTAGCACTTTGGGAGGCCGAGGCAGGCGGATCGCTCAAGGTCAGGAGTTCGAAACCAGCCTGAGCGAGACCCCGTCTCTACCAAAAATAGAAAGAAATTAATTGACCAACTAAAAATATATATACAAAAAATTAGCCGGGCATGGTGGCACATGCCTGTAGTCCCAGCTACTCGGGAGGCTGAGGCAGGAGGATTGCTTGAGCCCAGGGGTTTGAGGTTGCTGTGAGCCAGGCTGACGCCACGGCACTCACTCTAGCCTGGGCAACAAAGTGAGACTCTGTCTCAAAAAAAAAAAAAAAAAAAAAAAAACCTATGTTCTGCTTCAAGTTACCTGCCTTCTCTATAATTCTCTGATTAGACACTACATTTTTACTAGAGTTTGTATTTTAATACAAAAAGACCTCAAGGCTTTTATGCTTCAGTAGACAGCAAATACTTTTTAAAATTACAAAGTATAAAAAGTTTCAAACCTTTTTAATTTAATAAAGGCAAAGCAATGTGTAGGAATTTTTCATTTCCATGTATGGTAGCTTTGTACTTGAAGCATCCCTTAGAAATTTAACTCAAGAATGCCAATTTCATCCTTCTAGGATGTGGCCAATTCTGCATAATCTATACTAAAATGAGACTTCCCTCACAAAACCTAAATTATATGTAATTGAAATCTATTCTTTAATAAGACTTCTTTCACAACAAAAGGGAAGGAAACAGAAAGAACACAGGCTTCAGAGACACACGAACGCCCTTCCCTTTGTTACTTAGCCAACTCAGATATTAACTCTCTTGGAGACGGTGTTGAAAAAGGCCACTAAACTACAAGATCTAAAAGAGGTAAACAGGGCCAGACATGGTGGCTCATGCCTGTAAGTAATTCTAGCATTCTGGGGGACTGAGGCAGGAGGAATGCTTGAGCTCAAGAGTTAGAGACCAGCCTGAGCAAGAGCAAGACCCCTTCTCTACTACAAATAGAAAAATTAGCTGGGTGCCATAGCATGTGTCTGTAGTCCCAGCTACTTGGGAGGCTGAGGCAAGAGCATCGCTTTAGCCCAGGAGTTTGACATTGCAGTAGTTATGATGACACCACTGCACTCTACCCAGGGCAACAAAATGAGACTCTGTCTCAATCAATCAATACAATAAAAGAGGTAAACAGGATTTAAATTACTCTATCTGGTTCTTTTTTATTCCAGCATATTATGGGGGCACAAATATTTAGGTTACAGATACTGCCTTTGTCCCACCCGAGTCAGAGCTTCAAGTGTGTCCATCTCACAGACGGTGTGCACTGCACTCATTAGGTATGTATGCTCCCCTCCCCCATTCCATCTGCCCGACCCCCGATGAATGTTACCACTATATGTGCACTTAAGTGTTGGTCAGTTAATATCAACTGGATGATGAGTACATGTGGTGCTTGTTATTTGGTTCTTTCTATACATTGCTACTAGATGCCTGAAGTAATGCTGACAGGAGTAGCAAGCAACCAACACTAATTCCGACCTAGTAGGGAAAACGTACTCAATAACATATTCTGACATATATCTTAAATAGGCAGTTATGGGTACATAAAGCATGCTTCTACAGGTAGTAACACTAGCATTTTTATCTCAGAATACAATTAAATAAAAAAGCTGCTATGGTTTCATCTTACCACATACCTCACACATATAAAATAAATGGGACATAACAATAAAGGACCACAAAGATTTTTCTTGTTAGTCTAACGTGTTTGCAAGGAACACAAAGGTGTATAACTAAGTTCAAAATAAAGTTG